GAAGTCAAACTTTCGATCATTTTGATTCCCTTCGGAAGTTTGTATTCAAACGACTAAAAAGGTTGGCAAAGCTTAGGTTATACTCTATTATCACTCTTCAACCGCTTCAAGGAATTAAAAATATGAGAGAATGACTTTGGGGATAATTTTCGTAAGAACGAAATAATCAACCAGGAACGACTCAACAGTTAATGTTCTGGACGCCAACGACGCGGAACATGCCGAACTATTTAGGTAATTTTTAAGTCATATTTCCTGTTTACTACACATTGGTCGATAAAACAATCTTTAAAACACAATTTTTTATCGAAAAAGAATTGTATTTTAGAGGATAAGGGAGTTTTTTAGGGTTTTTTAGCTCACCGCTTCGACATGAGACGCCATTTTGAGTCCAAACTTCCCGAGCACAAAGTCTGGATTCAAAGCGGCCCTACCCACCTCAGATTCGATCTTTCCTTCACTTGTCATTCTTTCCGGCAGATGTGTCAGGTAATACTTAGCTTGGCTTATCAAAACTGGCTGGGAATTAGAATAAAACAAAGATAATGGAAGGTCAGATGCAGTCGTAAAACACTCAATATGGCGCGCTTTGTCTGACTGACTGACTGAACACGTGCAGATGATGAACACCCCGCAGATAACACAGGGTGACCAATGCTAGAGAAATGAGTAGACCAGAGACTGTTGACTCTCTCCCTTCCTCTCTTCCTTCCTCTTTCTTTCCTTTCTTTTCTTTTCTTTTCTTTTCTTTTTTTTTTTTTTGTTCCTTTCATTTTTTCCTTCCATTTTCCTTTTCCTTCCTTTAATCTTTTTAATCCCATTAAGTTCCTTTTTTCTTACTTCCTTTCCTTTTCATTTTTACTAAAAAACTCCCTTCACTCTTTTCCTTCCTTTCCTTCTTTTTTATCTTTTTCCTTCCTCCCTTCCATCCTCCCTTCCCTCCTTCCTCCCTTCCTTCCTCCCTTCTTTCCTTCCTCCTTCCTTTCTTTTTTTTTATCCCCCTTTTTCATTTTTCCTTCCTTCCTTCCTTCCTTTCCTTTCCTTTCCTTTTTTCCAGTTCCTTCCCTTATTTTTCTTCCTTCCTTTACTTCTTTCCCATTTTGTTGCTTAATTTTTTCTTCTTTTTCCCCTTTGTTTATTTCTCCTTTAATTTCTTCCAATATACCATCTCTTACCATTTCCTTCCTTTCTGATATTCAGTCTTCTGTTCCATCTATTAAAACTATTCTTTAATTCTCTACTTTCATAGATTAAAAGAGAAAGAGAACAGCATTCATTTGCTCCCAAMTTTTCATTATCAATACCTTTAAATATACCTTTTATCAATACCCTGATATCTTGGGACTTAATCAGCTAGAT